TGAAGATATTTTTCAGCCTAAGGATGGCTTGCAGGAGGAAGATCTTCTTGGGTTGCAGGACCCAGCTTGGGCGTTGTCAGAACAGGCGTCAGAATCTCTTGTGGATCGCGCAACGAAGAGACAGCGTGTACTAAGGTTGGTGCCTGAGCAAGCTTTATGTTTCAAGGTGGTCCGTAAGGCCGAAGGGTTGTCTTGGCAGGAGCTTAGAGATAATCTTCTTGAAAAAGCCTTAACACGGTGGATCTACTTGATCTCCAGGTGGGATGAAGCGTGTCCCGAGCTGCCCATTTGCCAGTCCGTCATGTCTTGCACTTCGGTAGAAAAGCAGAAGCAGGTCTTGCGTGACTGGCTCCATTCCAAGGCGCCAGGAACATTGCTGAAGCGAGTGAATGCGTTACTTCTCTTTCACAGGTCCATGGGGTGGCAGATAGAGATTCCCTACAAGGAAGAAGTCATCTACAATTACATGTCTGATTCGCGCGCGGGGGGAGCCAAGCCCTCTCAACTGCAGTCGCTCAGAGAAGCGTTGATATTCGTCAGGCACGTGTTTAGCATGGACCATTTGGAAGCCCTGGTGAAGAGCAGGCGTTGTGCAGGTGTCACTAAGGGCAAGCGCAAGCAAAAACGCAAGGCACCTCCACTTAAGGTGCCTGAGCTCAAGAAGCTGCATCGCCTTTTGGGGGATGAGGATGGACAAATTTGGGATCGAATGTTTGCAGGGGCTTGCCTTGCTTGTGCCTACATGAGGGCGCGCTGGGGCGATTTCCAGCAGACTGTGAGGTTTGTTGTCGACTGTGATCCCGAGGGGAACCCTATCTATCTTGAGTTCCAGGCTGACGTCTTCAAAACCATGAATGCCAAATTTTGGGATGATGAGCCTGCCGTTTGGGTGGCGCCCGCCCTTGGCGTCTCAGATAAGCCCTGGTTGCACGTTTGGTTGGGGGTCAGGCGCGAACTAGGTCTTGACAGCATTGAGCCTCCCTTGCCTACACCTCTTGAAGATGGATTGCCTAGCAAAGCGGGGGTTTCAACTTCTGAAATCAGTGCTTGGCTGCGTCTTGTGTTGCCTAGGGAAGCCGAGCCTGTGTCCGCGCATTCCCTCAAGAGAGCCCTGTTGTCGTGTGCAAACAAACGGGGCATGGATAACACCGACAAGCTGATTCTTGGGCACCACTGCCATCAGGGAAAGATGGCAGATGTTTATGGAGACGACCACGCAGCACGGCCGTTGAGGCTGCTAGAGGCCCTTTTGGCAGACATCCGTCTGGGGTCTTTTGACCCTGATGCAA